TCAAGGTGTTTAGACCGAAACACTCGATAGTGTTTAGTTTAGTTTTAAAATATTTAAAAAAACAGGGAAATATTTTGCACTCACAAATAGATTTTTTTGTTTCAGTACCCAAAATAATCTTTCTGTCAGATTTAAGAATATTACAAATTCATGTGTGTTGCTGCGTATTAACCCTTATCCTTCTGTCTGATCTAAAATGTACAGCCAATCTCGTAAAGATCACCAAGTTCACAGTTGCACCTTGATATAATTAACATTGGAAACCTACTGTCAGACTGAGTCGTCGGTAGCCACCTTCTTGGATCAGCGATCTCCGGATAGTCTCCTTCGTCAACAACTAAAGTGTTTTCATCAGGATTTGAATCGCGCATTTCTAAAAGTGCAGACGAGTAAGCATTAAGGTATATTCGACACTCGATGAAATCGCTTTTAGGCTCTGGAGCAGTTACCTTCAATGATTGTGTCTAGTCTAATGCTGTCGCCTAGTACTACATTTTTGTGTGAGATATTCAGAAAGTCAAAGTCGGGACTATTTTGGGGTGGATTATAGACTGCATATACCTTGAAGTGGTTTTGACATGTGTGAGTTGTTCAGAAAGTCAAAGTTGGGACAATTCTGGTTAGTGAGATATTCAGAAAGTCAAAGTCGGGACTATTTTGGGGTGGATTATAGACTGCATATACCTTGAAGTGGTTTTGACATTTCTAAACATTTAACCTGATATTTTCGCAGATGTCTTGTCGAGTCCATACACTTGATTAGATCGTAATGTGATGTGAGGCCTTCTTTAACTCCAGCCAGAATTTCACTTGCAACTTGCGGTATTTAGGTAGAAGGTACAGAGTTAACCTGGGAATTGGTAGTACTTCAGTTTGTCATCCGAAATGTTAGCTTCCATAATTGTGAAAATGTCTACATCATATGTTTGTAGGATTTTCTGGACTTGGATCTTCTTGTCCGGTGACATTCCTCAGCATTCCACTGGAGGATCTGTAGACGTTGTGATTCGCCCTGACGGGGGTGATTTCTCTTATAGCCTTGTTTCAAGCTAATCATAATAAATAGATGTCAAATGAAATGCCGAGTGATAGACTTTTTGCCGTACAAAGATACGTTGTCCAGGGTGCACCTCGTGGAGGTAAGTCTATCGCGCACGCCTTCTGAATAATCATAAATGGCTGCATTTTCCATGTATTATGATATTAGGACGATAGTATTATAACATCCTTCATACTGCTCACCACCGAGGTCGCGTTACCTGCCAATCAGAGGAAATGCGAATTCATTGGGGCTCACAGAGGGGAGAAACATTTATTTATTCCAAATGGCAGGCGTTTTTTGGTGGTTATCATTAGCCCTTTAGTTGACTTCAGGCTTCACAGGGGGGAAGGAACATCAAATTGAAAAAAGTCGAGAGGGGAGGTGGGAACGGAAGAGTGCTTCAAAGATGCAAGAGACAAACACAAAGATAGAAAATAGGTGAGGTAGGTTGAGTGGAAGTGGGGGAATATGACATACAGTGGGGTGATGGAAGTTAGCAGTCAGAGGTCAACTGTCGGTTAATAGACTATTTTGCCGTATGAGCATACGTTGCTCAGGGTGCACCACGTGGAGGTTATTCTATCGCACACCCCCTGTAGATGCGCGGAAATAAAAGTGTGGAATCATGAGGCGAATAAGCTTACCAGTTTGCTGATCTTTGATGATGAGTTGACGGCTTCGGGAATCTATGTGCATATTACCCTTTTAACTAAGAATATTCATTCTTGAAAGAATATCCATTATAAAAATTTGAAATAGTTTTTTTGACGTTGATTATGATTCCACAATTCAGTGTTCAAGCATTGCAATTGACTGGCTTTTAATATATTAAATCACACCTAACTTTGACAATATTTTATGCTCACTTTTGCCTTCTGTTCAAATCCATTTACAATATTTTTTCAAGTACCATACATCACCCATGAGCGTTGCGAAAGATCAATGATTAACGACTTATACTTCTGTTTATTACCTGGGGGTGTGGGAGAGACTTACTGCCATGTGGTGGACCATGGGCAACGTATACTCATATGACAAAGAAGTCTGACTTCGAACTAACATGACCCCACTGTATGTCGTATTCCACCACTTCCACATTACTCACCTCACCTTTTTCTCTAACTTTGTGTCTGTCTCTTTTAAATCTGTGAATCACTCTTCTGTTCCCCTTCTCCACTTTTGTGACTTAGATGTTCCTTCCCCTATGTGAAGTCCTAAGTCAACTAAAGGAGTCATAATAGCCATCATTTGATATGGATTAACTTTCGTTTATTATCTTGAAGGCGATTATCTATCGTGCTTTAATTGCTTTGAAAAGCCTTCTAATATGATAGAACACATTTTAAATAAAAGATAAGTTTTGAGCTGCTGAAAGCATAAATGACATTGTGAAAGTTGAGCTAATGTAGTAATCCAAAGTCCTTTCAGAATACAAGAACTTTGACTTTGTGTCTTGATGCAAAACTAGGTATATAATAGATTATTTTCAGCCGCCAAGTTTCAAAACTAACTTTAGATTTATTTTATGTTCCGCGTATCTTTTTTGAAGTTGGCAGTACCTGTTATCTTCAGAAAATCCGGCTCATAAGAAATAAGTATACATATAATACACTTAATTGACTTGAAATTAAGATATGTCCAAATATTACTAACAAAAATTGCCATTTCTCAGTTGGAAGCTAACTATGCCTAATAACTTTATTTGAGAATTCTCTGGGGTACGAAAAAGTAATCAAAGGAAAAAAATTAAATTTGAGTGCATCATCAAACAATTTTCAAATAACTTTACGATTATTATTGGGTCATTTTTAATGTTCCATAGCCCGGGAGTGCAATAGACTTACCTCCACGTGGCGCACTCAGGGCAACGTATATTCATACGGCAAACAAGTCAATCAAACAGGGCAACGTATACTCATACGGCAAACAAGTCTATAAACCAATGGGCAACGTATACTCAAACGGCATACCTCCACGTGGTGCACCCTGGGCAACGTGTACTTACAACCTCCATGTGGTGCACCCTGGGCAACGTATACTTATGCGGAAAAAAGTCTATTGACTGGTAGTTGACTTCTCACTTCAAACTACCATCACCCCACTGTATAGTTGACCACTGACTTCAAACTACCATGACCCCACTGTATGCCTTGACTTCTGACTTCAAACTACCATGACCCCACTGTATGTTACAAAGTATACTCATACGGCAAAAAGTCTATAAACCGGCAGTGGACTTCTGACTTCAAACTACCCTCACCCCACTATATGTCACAACTTCTGACTTCAAACTACCATCACCCCACTGTATGCCATTTTCGACTACTTCCACAGTACTCACCTCACCTTCTTTCTACCTTTTCTACCTTCGTATTTGAAACACTCTTCTGTTCCACTCTCTAGACTTTGTTTCACCTTGATGTTCCTTCCCCTCAGTGAAGCCTGAAGTCAACTAAAGAGCTAAGGACAACCATCAAAACGCCTGAAACTTGATATAAATAAATGTTCCAGCGCCGTAAAAAGAGTTCCCAGAAAAAGAAGGTAGAATAAATTAATTCAATTTCAAAACAAGAATGTACTTAACAGTTAAATTTAATATTAGATATCTTGAAATTTATTGATTTTATTTCCAAATTAACATTTCGAATAAATTTTAAATATTCTTGCCTATTGTTTAAAGTTATTGCAATGCAAAGAATTTTTTTGGAAAAAAAGTACTTGAATTTTGAAAGTAAGAAGATGGGACTGAATTTTAGGTGGAAGTCTAATGTAGTCAGAAATTAACTGTTTTCATTTCTCCATGAATTCTGAGGGCAATAGGTATTCTGTTTGATAAGCCTGTTCCTCCTTGGCTGCTTCAATGCTCAACACAAACAATTAACTACTTGAAACTTAAAGTAAAAGGATTATAAGGAAATTTACTTTTTATATAAACTCTTTATATAATATTTTTAGGCTGAAATTCAGTCCACTGCAAACGCTATTTAG